GGGGTAGTTCTGGTTCTCATCATGCTTTGTCCACGGGGACTTTTTTTTTTTTTTTTTGCCTGAGTTAAAAGATAAGCTGGACAGAAGAACTTAATCAGAAAGTTTGAGGTCAGAATGCAGGTGGTTGAAGTCGTCCTTCAAATAGGAGGTTCTGAACTAAGATGGGGGCAGGGGTCTGGGGCTTCAGAGGAAAGGAGTGCATTTCCCAGGGCAGTGAGAAGAGCAGGTATCTGCTAATTAGATGGTTGCCCTGCCCTACAGCTGGGTCATCAGATACAGTTTATCTCAGCGAGTAACCCTTATTCTGGGGAAGACCCTCAACGTGGATTCTTCTGTGTGGTTAAGGGAAGGGCAGATGTTTCTCTTGAGCTGCAGGGTCTCATTGCCTTCAGCTGAGAATAATCTTCCTACTAACGTGGTCCATCTTGGGGGTGGCCTGCCCTTGGCCCCAACACCTTCTTTGGAAATTTTAAGAGCAACATACCCAAAATGTGATAATTGATCCATGCCCTCTGGGAAAGAGTTTCTTAATGTGTGTGGCCATCTGGGACCTCAACCCGGCCCTAAATTCACAGTTTTAGTAACGACACAGGGGAAGCTGTGGAAAGCATGCATAGCAGGCTTTCTGAGGACTCTCGGGCAGGAAAGGATAAACAGTAGTTGGGTAGAGTTGGATGATGGCTTCAGAATTCAGAGAACTTAGTAGGTTGGGGCAATGGCTAAATCTAACAAGATGAAATTTTACAGGGATAATTTAAGATTCTCTGTTGGATGCAAAGTAACAGCTGAACAAGCGGAGGCCAGGATTGAACTGAAATCACAGATTGTTATAAACCGAAAAGCATTTAAGTCTTAATCATTTAGAATAAGGACAAATACATCTGCATATATTAAAGGTATAATAATGCTCTTAGAGTCTATTAAAGGAAGTTCTTTTTCTTATGATCTTGATGGTTATGTAAAAATGAGATAGAGGAAAGCATTAAGGGTATACGATTTCACAAGAAGTCAAATGAGCATGCTGAAGTAAAACACGCTTGGCATTTGAGGGCCGCCTGGGTGGCTCAGTTGGTTAAGCGTCTGCCTTTGGCTCAGGTCATGATCCCGGGGTCCTGGGATCGAGCCCGCATCGGGCTCCCTGCTCAGCCGGGGGTCTGCTCCTCCCTCTCCCTCCGACCCTCCCCCGCCAAAGCTTGCACGCATGTGCTCTCTCTCAAATGAATAAATAAAAAATCTTAAAAAAACAAAAAGCAAGCTTGGCATGAACTAGTTATATAGAAATATCACTTACATGTAAAATTTCAGTTCTCAAGGGTCACATTAATAAAGGATTTGTCCATCTCTTAAAATTTTTTATTTTTAGTTTTTGAGTGTCTCTGTTTTTAAAGTGAGAGAGCTACATTACTGAAGATTTACTGCTTTTCCCTAGATTTAATTATGATTTATATAAAACCAGAGAAGCAGGTGCTTAAGGATGGGGACTTGTCCTCTGCATTTTGACCCCCACATGAACTTTCTGCAGCCGGTTTTGTTTTTTTGTCATTTTGAACTTTTTAATTCTCTTGTTCATTTTAGGTTCTAGTGTTTTGTTTTGCAAAATAGGAAACGCAGTAGTGTTACTACATCCAGTGTTTCTCTTTTATTTAAAATGTCGTCTTAATAAATTCTTTGGTTTGGGGTTATTGGTTTGTATCAACTTGGGCTCTCTTGGTTGTGTGACAGAATCTGAACTCCCATTAGCTTAGGCAGGAAAGGAGACCCGATGGCTCTTGTGTCTGAGAGCAGGAGAGCAGCCTAGGGCTTGTCCCTCGAGTGATCCCCTCAGGACGTTCTTTCTCTTTGTCATTCCACTCTGTACCTCAGCTAGTTAGCCACTGGCAGCGTTTTCAGAGAAAAAGACCCTTGCTCCCCAGCATCTGTATCAATTTCTAGGGAAGAGTTCTGATTATCCCTGTTTGGGTTATGTGCTTACCAATGGCTTGGAGTCAAGCAGGAAGTTTCCAGAAGGAAGGGATGTGGAGCAGACAACATAACAGATGTTTGCGACGTGGTCAAGAAGATTGAATACTTTGATACCCCTCTGTTCTCTCTCAAAAGGAAATGCGTGTTAAGGATGATGGGTTCCGCACATACCCGCGGCGTGGCGCCACGGGTCTAGTCCAGTGCCTGGACCATCGAGAGCTTTGGATCTGTAATGTTTATTTTACTGTCGCTAGATGATGGAACTTATGTTCAAGATTGCGGTCTACTATCCCTTCACCTTCTTCTATAAGACTTTTTGGTATTGCTGTTGAAGAGATTGTCGTTGACGGTATGTTTTCAACATACAGTATCCCATCCCCTGCTGTCCAGGAATTGTGTAGAGACTTAGCTCCTGAAAATACTTGAGTCATTTCTTAAACTGTAGCCAACGCTGGAGAAAGCAGCTTCAAAAAATGGACCTTTTCTCAAGGGCCGTACAAAGCATAGGGGGACTGATGGGCATTTGGGGTGGAGGCCAGCATCTCTGTATGCTGTCAGTGGTGGAGCGAGGGAGAAGCCAGATCCAGATACCAGAAAAGCAGGTAAAGAGAGACAGCGCCCCGAGGGTTTCCGTTCTAGGGGCTTCCGGGCTACCTAAGCTTGGTAAGAGTGTTTGCTCAAATTTGTTTTCTGTTGACACGTTATGCTCATTTGGGGATGTGCTTTTTAACATTTTTTTGTTCTCTAAAATTTCTCTCAATTCTAATTTCTAAGAAGCATCTCTAGGATTTTTTTTTCAGGCGGCTTAAATCCGTGTTTCCATAAACCTACAATGTTTATATATATTTTTCCATGGCTAAAGTTCAGTAATATTTAAATGTGGGAGTTTCCAGTTTTCGTTTTTGACTTGTTCCATCAAGTTGTACATTTGGTACACAAGAGGCTTTGGTATTCTGTAGTGGGGATTAGATTTAGCTGCATTAGAAAAAACTTGTTAACCGGGATCCCTAAGGAACAATAACCAAGTAGCAGGTGGTTCATCCGGCTCTTGGGTGCACACCAGGCCCTTCCCAGGAAGCTCGCAGTCCTGGGGGCCATGCCTGGCCCAGGGACCCTCTTCACCCTCTTCACCCTCCTCACGCATTTATCTGTATCTGCCCTCGATGCGTGAGGAATTGAGGTTGGGGTGACGTGGTTTTTAAAAAATACCCCACAACGTGACCAGCAGAATTCTGTAAACTTTTGCAGCAGTATGAGAAAGAGTCATCGGGTGTCCCGTGTCCTGACCCCAGGAAAACTGTCGTGCTCACAGAGTTCTGCTCCGGCCTGCTCCGTCCACCCGCTTCCCAGCCTCTCAGGACGGAAGGCCAGGAGCTGATGCCGTTCTGTGACTGACAGACCGGACCGTTTGTTTCTTTCTAACATCTTGTTATGAAAAAACCTCAAACATGTAGAAAACTTGAAATCCTTTTCCATTGAACACTATCAGCCCATCTAAATTCTGTAAACAACATTTTACTCTGCCGGCTTTGTTGCATATTCATCCCTCAGTCTTAATCATCCTTTTTTTTTTTTTAATGTATATCAAAATAAATTAGTATTTGGAGGGTGGTTGCTTTTTGTTTTTTTGTTTTAACCTTTTACCAGTAGCTGTGAATCCTTAATCCTTGTTCTGAGATTTCAGGCATCATTAAGCAAGTGTGGGGAGACTGCACTAGCAAGCAGGAGGGCCTAGCGCAGTTCCAACCATATGGTGGGTGTTCAGTAAATATTTGTTAAATGAGTGCAGTTCCATTAGTCCTGTTTGACTAGCTCTGTACATATACTTGAACTTGCCACTTAGGACAGTTACTTTCCAAATAAATTGTCGGTTTCCTAGGTACATGAAGATGGACCTTCTTTTATGAGATAGTCCATGAAAGACAATTATTTAGAATATGAAATGGATTAAAAATATATATTAAGTACTATAAAATATATCTATATGATACCTACTTTTTACCACAGTGATCATCTTGGAATGTGCACACAGTGGTATTCCCGGGAATCCATGTTTCTGGGTTGACGCACACCTCAAGGAGCCTCTTGAGGAAGAGGCTGAAGGAGCAGCCCCACCTCCCATCAACCAGAACAGCTTCCCTTTAGTCTGTTTTCCATGGAATTAAGATTTTATTGCAGGAAAAGTTTGAAAATCACAGCTACTAGGTCAGCTAACCAGTATACACCACCCCGTGGAGGCTCTCGTATAGTGGGTAGTATTCCAGGAGAAGAATGTAAGTATATCTTGCTCCCTGGATCTTAAATTCTGAGTTTAGTTGGCTAGGGGTACTGCATCATTAAAATTCATCCCAGTGGCTCTAGATAAAGAATAGTGAGCATTTTCACTGCCAGGGAATAATCTAAATGTATGAATCTTACAGGAGTGTACACATGTGTGCCTCTGTGTGTTCCTTTAGTCCCTGAGAGTGAGTGTGCCCAGAATGAACGATGTCTCTATTTTCACTTCTTACCTCTGTAAAGAAAGGGTGTTGGGGCACTTAGGTGGCGCAGTTGGTTGGGTGTCCGACTCTTGGTTTGGGCTCAGGTCATGATCTCCGGGTCTTGAGATCCAGCCCTGTGTCGGGCTCTGCACTCAGTTCAGATCTGCTTGTGATTTTCTCTCCCTCTGCCCCCGCCAAATAAATAAATCTTTTAAAAAAAGAAAGAAACAAAGGGCATGCTTTTCTCTCCCCTCCCCCGCCGATGAAATAGGTGTGTTTTGAGAACATTTTGGGATCTGATCTCTGAATGCAGTATGGGCAGCTACCAGAAACCTTCCCTGTTTCCAAAACAGAGTAGGGGCCCTCACCGTTGGTGTCCTCTTTCCTCACAGTAGGGCTGATGAATCATTTTGGTAATATGTCTTCCTTTATTTCAAAACAACCATAGCCACGGTCATGAGTGTTCATGCCAGCATGTTTACAAATTGTATGATAAAGATTGTTTGATTTTTTTACTGTGAAGTTTACATTTGTAACTTCCTCTGTTTGTCTCTATTCCCAATAGGCTCGGGTTATGTATGATTTTGCTGCTGAGCCTGGCAATAATGAACTGACGGTTAATGAAGGAGAAATCATCACAATTACAAATCCGGTAAGAGGTTTTAAAATCTGATGGTCTCTTAAGGACAATAATTATTTTTAAGATTTTATTTTGTTTAATAAGTTGATAATTCAAACCCACACAAATTTTTACCCTGTTGTTTATGAAGTATTGATGGTGAAGTAAGACTCTATATTTTATAAACAGTGAATAAAAGTTAAGTCCCCTAAAGGTAGTTGGATGGGGTTCCATCAGACAGAAATGGAAAGAGATGTCCCAGACAGATCCCAGCCAGATCACAGGTGTAGAGATTAGAAAACATTCAGTGTTTCTTGGAAGTCACAGCTGAGGCTGATTGACAGCCTGTGAGCCAAGTGTTTGGCTGAATACTACACATGTATTCTTGACATGTTTTCTCCATGAACTCTGTGAGCTAGGGACTTTTAATCTGTGTTTTACAAATGAGGGTAATGAGACGTAGAGGGTAAGCAAACTTGCCCAAGATCACTTTGTTTATAAGTGGCAGAGTAAGGGTGCAAAACCACATCTGCTTGGCCTCTGAGCCTCTGCTTTTTCTCTCTGCTGGGAACACAACACGTAAACAAGGGTCCCAGGGGTCCGGGGCACATATGTGCCAGTAGCAGACAGGCTAAGAAAACTGGCTCTTCAAGCCAAATCAGACAGGATCTGTGGGCCAGGATGTAGACTTTGGACTTCATTTGTAAGTAGTGGATTCATTTAAGGGTTTTCTTCTTGATGTTGTTGTTAGGCAGGTGATGTCGTGAGACTTGCCTTTCCAGGAAATTAATCTAGCACAGGTGTATTGAGTGAACTGGCGTGACGGGAGCCTGGGGATGCGACTTCAGGTCGTAGCAGCAAGAATTGAAGAAAGCTGAACACAGGAGGCCTTGCAGAGTCAGACCCAGAGGACTTGGTGCCAGATTAGATACTGTTGGAGAGAAAAGAGGCAGGGATCCCCAAGAGTTTTGGCCTTTGACCTGAGAGAATGGTGGATTTATTAAGTACGTGAGTCAGAGAGAAAAGCTTCTTTGGGAAGATTAAATGAGTTTATTGTTAGATATGTGGCGCTTGAAGAATAGTAAATAATTAACCCCTACAGCTTTGCCTCAGTTTAAAAATGGAAATGGCCGAGCTGGAGGTGAGAGCTGGGGATAGGCCAGCTGTCCGGGACACCTTTGAGAGTAGCATGTGAAGAAGGTGGCCGGGACAGCTGACGTCCTGGGAAGGGAAGGAGGAGATGCAGGTGTTCCTCCAGGTGGGGGGGACAGGGGCCTGGGACAGCGCAGAGACCGGGGAAGGAGAACGGGAATGACCAAGAGAGGATGGTGGCTTCTTAATACTGATAGTATTTTCAAAACCTGTCTTAATATGTTTTAGATACAAAAAATAATTACTGGGTAGGAAAAGTATATATAGTTTTAGATACTATACTAAGTGTATATAAGTAAATAGTTTATTTTTAATCATTAGAGAGATTAAAGATTCTTTATCTGATTTTTTTAAATGAAGAAATAGTCTTCATTTCCTGGTAAAATAGTATTTAAGTTGTTGTCACGCTCAAAAATGGACAAAGTAGTCGCTTAATGTGATTTTTATTTTTATTATTTTATTTAAAAAAACAGTTAAGCACCTGACTCTTAGTAATAAGAGTAATAAATCTGTAAATAAATAGTAATAAATAAATCTGTTTTTAATAAATAAAAATAAGCCATTTATTTAAATAAAATAAAATAGTAATAAATAATAGTAAATAAATAAATAATAAAAATAAAAGGAGAATGGGGAATGACCAAGAGAGGGGAGAGGCAGAGGGAGAGAACAGCCCCGACTTGGGGCTTGATCCCAGGACTTAGAGATCACAACCTGAGCCGAAGGCAGACGCCCAACCATCTGAGCCACCCAGGTGCCCCTTCAAATGATTTTTTAAAAATGCATTATTAGGGCACCTGGGTGGCTCAGTCGGTTAAGCACCCGACTCTTAGTTTAGACTGAGGTCTGATCACAGGGTCATGGGATCAAGCCCCACGTCGGGCTCCAAGCTGAGTCTGCTTAAGATTCTCTCTTCCTCTCCCTCTGCCCCTCCTCCCGCATGCGTGCTCACTCTCTAAATAAATAAATAATAAATAAAATCTTCAAAAAAAAATGTGTTATCTAAATTCAGATAGGTATTAACTAATTGAGACATGATTTATGAACTTAAGACAACTCTTAAGGTGAAAAAGTAGGACTTTGTTGAGATAATAGATTGAAAAGTGGGAATTCTAGTATATTTTGTAATTTAGTTTAGCATTGTTTATCCAGAAGAATGAAGGAACCATGGATCAGTTAGCTTTTCCTAGATAATAGGCAATCCCAAAGCTTAGTGGCTTAAACAAACAACCATTTATTGTCTTGCTCAGGAACCTCCAGGTTGGCTGGATGGTTCCACTGACCTGAGCTCCCTCACACGTCTGCAGGCACCTGGTGGGCAGCTGGGGGCTCAGTGCTTTAACACGTGGTCCTTCAGGTGTCTGGCGATTCCCCTGCTGAGGGTTGGCTGGCTTGGGGTGGGGAGTCCAGGAGACTGAGCCTTTTCTCTGTCATCTAGCAACCGAAGTTATTCACACAGCTCTTTTGGAAAAAGTGTGCAAAGCCTCTTGAGGCTAGACTCTGAACTCACTCTATGTTATTTCCACCTCACCTCATTCTGTTGGCCACAGAGGTCACAAAGGACAACACAGATTCCAGAAATGAGGGTGTCATTCTGCTTCTTGACAGTCGGGGCTGCATTTTTGTCATCTGCCCCCACCCAGTGAATAGAGAGGAATTACACATGGATGACACTCTAGCCTATTGAATGGGCTACTTTTCAGTCTTTGATCACTTGTTTGATTTTTCTTGTTTTTAGATGATATCATTTTCCAGAGTAAAGAGAAGCCTTAAGAATTTATAACTTTGAGGGCGCCTGGGTGGCTTAGTAGTCCGTTAAGTATCTGGCTCTTGGTTTTGGCTCAGGTCATGATCTCAGTGTTGTGTGCTTACCCTCACTCGCTTGCACTCCCTCTCTCTCATATAAACCTTTTAAAAAAATTTATAACTTTGAACAGTGTTAGCTCTGTGGGAATAAAGAGCTTAACATTAATTATTTTTTCATGTATAACAAAGCAAAATTTCTGTAGGAAATTCCAACTATAATGTCATATTTTTTTCTTTTCTCTCTTTTTTAAACTTTATTAGGATGTTGGTGGAGGATGGCTGGAAGGAAGAAACAGCAAAGGAGAACGGGGGCTTGTTCCCACAGACTATGTTGAAGTAAGAACTTATTGTCCTATAGTAATTAAACCTGGTCTTTGTCAGACATCTTTTTATGAATTATGGAAAGTAGCAACTTTATTTTTAATAAAAAAAATTTCCATTGTAAAAGTAATACCTGCTAATTATATAAAAGATGAAAAATACATTGAAGTAGAACTAAGAAAAAATGTTACCTATAGACCCAAGCTCCAAAGAGTGACTCCAGATATTTAAATTAAGTTCCTTCTTGGGAGAGCAACTTCTAATTATTCTGGATGAATGTCCCTATTTTTCCTTTGTTTATATTGTGTAATCGCTGTTGCCTGTAGTACTGTTTATATTACGAGTTCATTCACAAAGTTTAAAAAGATTTTTTTTTAAGTAGCTCTCTTTGCTCTGTGCTGGTTTAGGACCTATCCCTCAGCCCGCACTCCCATTCCCATAAACAGAGGGTCTTGGATGAGCTCCTGGGAGCTACTAACCTGGTTTAAGCTCTGTGCCCATAGATGGCAAGGATAGTGTTCCGGCCCCTGGCAGGAGCCTCCCACCTAGGACACACTCAGCTGACAAACCCCCCTCTGAGCCAACCTCCTGGCGCCCCCTGCTGGTTGTCTGTAGGTCACTCAAACTTGAGTTCTGGATACTTGGGTCAGCTTGCCTCTCCCCCGTCCGGTGACCAACTGAAACCAAGGTAGCCTGGTGCCCTGTGAGTAAAACGGAAGTGAGATCAAGAACAAGGGCCCTCTGGTTCCCTCAAGCAGAGAGGAATGGTGCCCCGGGGGGATGTTTACCTGGGTGCTGTCTCTCTCCCTGTTGTTCTTGATGGAGAGTTGGGGTGGGGAGTTTTGAACCCTCTGGAGAATCCGATGAATCTGTGGCTCTTCTTCTCAGAAATCTGTGCATGTGCATGCACCCCAGGCTCGCCTGTGCAGTTCCAGAGGGCCCACAGGCCCCTGGACTCAGCCCACCTGTCTTAATGTTTGTGTCATGCTTTACCTCTGTGCACTGTGCAGGCAGGATCCTAAAAATGGACAAGAAGGAGAACAATCTGAGGATTTAAGTTGGTGCTGGCATTGATTGCATTTTCTAGAACTCTGCATACTTCTAGAAAGGAATAGTTAATACAGATGTTCAAAGGCTACCCTACCTTTTAAGAATATAAATCTCTTTTCCATAATAGATGACAATTTTTGCTTGCCTTTAGAGACTCTGTGAACTACCCCTAATCTATGAAAAAACTGTGGTTCTTTCTAATATTCAGATTTTGCCCAACGATGGAAAAGACCCATTTTCTTGTGGAAATTCAGTGGCTGACCAGGCCTTCCTCGATTCCCTCTCAGCAAGTACAGCTCAGGCCAATTCGTCAGCTGCCAACAGTAACAACCAGGTGAGTCTTCGGTCATCTGGCTGGACTGAGAGAGCAATGCATCTCTGACGGCTCACGATGTGTTCTAGCGGTTGCCGTTCCCTGAAAGCACAAAGTAGCTGTTAGATGTCTGTGTGGCATTTCTGTTGGGCATTAACAAAAACTTGCCTGTTAGACCGGCTGAAGACTGTTTTTAAAGTTGATTATAAGAGAGAATGCAGGGTGTCCATTGAGAGTTGCTTCTAGAAGTCTGGCATGATACAAACACAGACCCTTTAAGGTGCAAATATTCTCCCAAGTGGGGGAGGAAAGGCAGGGTCCCACACTGAGGCGATGAGTGTCAGAGCTCCAGCTGGAACAGGAAATGATTTCTCTGACCTTGGCGTGTTTCTTACACTCTCATCTTGCAGATGCAGTGCAGGTGAAAAGTGGCTGCAAATCCAGCGCTCAGCACTCACTACTGCTATTGTATTGCCTCTAGGAAACTTAAAGCCGTGGGACGAGTTGAGAAAAATACACTGAAATTCGACATTAATTTTAATGAAAGTTTGACCAGTTTAGGTGACTCTGCCTAGTTCAGTTACCGTTAAATGATTACCTTGGGTGAGCGGCAACAAGAAAAGTCAGAAGATGGAGATCAAAATGTTACCGCTTCCTACATCCTTAGAAACAAATGGGCTTTAGGGCATGTTATTTCTTGATATTCTTTAACTACATAGAAGGTTTTCAATTATGTGAAGCGTCATAGTCCTATCACTTAGTAATTATTTGCTTACAGAATGTTTATATCTTAACCTTCCAAGATAATTTATCCAAGTGCTGTTACCATATGTTAACTGCAGATTCTGTACGTTTTGATTTATTTATTTTTTAAAGATTTTATTTATTTGAGAGAGAGAGAGAGTGAACAGGGCAGGAGTGGAAGGAGAGGGAGAAGCAGACTCCCCGCTGAGCAGGGAGTCCCGACTCGGGGGCCCAATCCCAGTATCCCAAAATCATGAACTGAGCTGAAGTCAGACACCTAACCAGCTGAGCCACCCAGGTACCCCGATTTTATACATTTTTAAATAGCTTTTGGTGGACATCCTGAATTACAAATTAGTCTGGCCCAATATTTAAAATTCAGAGGCAAAGAGGTCACCGTAGTTGAGCATTTTCCTGCATTTTGTTACTCTAGAATACTTGAGAACATTGGTCAGTTAAAGATTACTCAGGATAAAACATGAAGAAACAGTAGTCAAGCCTCACTTGAAGTTTACCAGGGATTCTCAGCATGAGTGCTGTGGATACTGGGGCCTGAGCTCTGCGTTGTGCGGTTTAGCAACACCCCAGGCCTCTGCTCTCTGCGTGCCAGTAACATCTAGTTGCCCTCAGGTGTGACCATCAAAATTATCTGCAGATGGTGCCAGATGTCCCCTGGGGGCAAAGCCAACTCAGCTGAGTTTACCGAGTTAAACAAAAACATCCATGAAATGGGTTTGCATCGAGTAAAAGACAACATTTTAGTAAAAGGGAATGATGCTGAGATGATTTAGAATAAGCAAAGGAAACAAAAGATGAAAAAATATTCATCCTATTTTAATTCAGGGACCTACTTCAGCCGCTGTCTCAGGATGGACTAAAGCACTCTGACCGCAAATTCACCATCAGGCTCAAGTCTTACTCTGTTACGAAGTAGCTTCCTCGGTATTTAAATGTAGCAGTAGGAACTGAGTAGCATAAGTCGAAATAAAACCAACTTTTTGAAGGTGGATTTTACTAATCCATTCTAACATTAAATCTAACCAGATCCTTTGAAAGCAAAGAAAAAGTGAACTGAAACTAGAAGTAACAAAATATAGAAAGCATGACCATAATTAATTAACTGAGCATTTGGATTTAATTTAAATAAAAAAAATTTTTTTTTTTTGAGAGAGAGAGTAGGTAGGGAGGGACCGAGGGGGAGAGAGAGAGAGAATCCTGAGCAGGCTCCACGCCGAGCCTGGAGCCCGACGCGGGGCTCTGTCCCACAGCCCTGAGATCATGACATGAGCCAAAATCAAGAGTCAGACGCTCAACCAACTGAGCCACCCAGGCGCCCCCTTCTCAAGTAAAAACATCTATGCTTTCAGTTATCTGGAATAGAAGAAGAATTTAAATAGACCAAAATGGTGGTGCGTTTATAAATACCATGAAAAATGTCATGAATAGGAAACCAGGCAGCCATTTTTAATTGGTAGCTTTTAAAACTTTTGCTGTCAGGTTTACTCATTCTTTCATTCTCTGAATGTCAATAGGAAAAAACTATTTTTGTTCCAAGGTTATGCCCGTTGGGATTTTCACATTACTGTGGCAGTGTGTGCTCTCCCAGGGGACAGTTTTATTTGGAGGAGCCAGCCCTGCCCTCTCCCCGGTCAGGCAATGCAGGGCGCACCTCCCCTTTCCACCCTGCACACCGCTCCAGATCAGTCTGTGTTTGCTCTCCTCAGCGCCAGTTATTTTAAATCTGGCTTTCTTCCCACACAGGCAAGGTGCAAATAGCCAATAAACATAGGAAAATACTCATTTTTAGAGTCTGCTCTTAAAGGGTCAGAGAATTAAAATGTTTTAATACCGAGTGTGAGGAAAGGCGTGTTCAGACAGGCATGTTCTGATGCAAAGCTGGAGGAAGGATAAATTGATGAAGCATCTGGAAGGCAGTTTGATAACATGCATTACTATTTAAAATGCATGCACTCTCTGATGCAGCAGTTTACTTGCAGAGCTGCCCTTGGAACACAGCCATGTGGGCAGAAGCTTCGCCGCACAGGGTTCCAGCAGCAGGAGGCTGGGACACATGCGTCGGGCAGGAAGGGCCTGGCCAGGCAGACCCCAGGGCAGCCCCGCAGGGGGAAGCATGCTTCCCGTGGGAGCAGGAATGTAGATTTAGACGCACCGATGTGGACGTGTGATTGTTTTCAAAGGCATATCAGTACGGTAATGGTACCTTTCCCAGGCTCAAATACACACACACCACAGATGCAAATTGTGTAGAATATTTATCAAAGGATAACCCAGAAATGAATCGAATTCTCATTGTTTTCTTACTCAAATACAGATTTTTAAGTTGCATGAGGACCGCTATTGCAGTACCTTTAGAAGAGAAGAATCATTTTTTAGTGGTTCACCTTAGTTTCACTATCAGTTCTCTATCTGGGATTTCACAGCTTCAAGGGCAATTCATTTGGGTGGCAGTGCCCCCAGCCTCATTCAGAGACCTGTGGACAGTTGCCCTCATCTTGATTTGCACCCAGTTATCAGGGTTTAAATTATACCATTGCCCCGAGTCTGAAAAACTGCTAACAGTAGATCTTTACAAACCTCCTATACGGCTGCCTCTGTGGACTGCACATTACTTAAAGGTTCTGTGAACGTAGATGTTTCATCTGAAGGTTTTAGAGATTTCTTTTTCTATCTTCGTTAAATACTGGCAAGAACCACCTACCTGGGATAAACTGCTTCTCTGTTTCTCGTGCCGCATCCCAGTTCCCTGGGAGTCTCTGGTTTCCTCCTTCCCGCTTCCTCACCCCCTGCCACCTGCTCTGGCTGCCCCACCCCCGGGGGCGGGACGGGGGCGTGGGCCGCACCTGAGCCGGGCGGTCAGACCCGGTGTGACAGACCGGCTCCACTGTTTGAGCTTCTGGAGTTGGAGGACAAGAGCCCTTAGAGGAAGTTACACACGGAGACATTTCCTAAATACTCTTCCTTCTCGTCTCCCTTCTCCCCTTCTCCGAGGGATGTTCTCGATGCCTTACCCTGGTTCATTCCAGCCTCTCTCCCTCTCCTCCAGCCACGGACATGTCTCTCCAATCTTGAGTTTTCTCTTCGGTTTACTCCATTTCCAGCTTCTTGTTGACCGTCTCTATCTGCCTCTCCGTTCTGTCCCTCAAGATGCATCATGAGCAGGGGCACCTGGGTGGCTCAGTTGGTTAAGCGACTGCCTTCAGCTCAGGTCATGATCCTGGAGTCCCGGGATCGAGTCCCATATCGGGCTCCCTGCTCAGCGGGGGGTCTGCTTCTCCCTCT